TCATATTCATAAAATGCTCATGACATTTTATAAGTATAAGATAAATGCACATCAAGTGGGGATTTATCTCATATTCATAAAATGCTCATTAAGTTGAACATAATCATTTTTTGCATTTGATCATTATGTTCAAATAAAATGTTAATGATGATCATTTTATCGCATACTCATAAAATGTCAATAAGTTCAACATTACTAACATGATTAACTCACCATACACAATTTAAGCTCATGACATTTTATCTCATACTCATAAAATGACAATGAGCATGAGATAAAATGTTAATAATGATTAATGCAAAAATGATTATGTTCAAATGAAGCTAACCTTAATAAAGTTTTTAGCCATCAAAAGTTTTGCTCAACATATGAAGCCATGTAAAGGTAGTCATCAAGTTTACTATTACTCACTTAAAACTTGAGGACAAAACAAGTTTCAACTTAGCTCTAACATATTTCACCACCAATCTTATGGTTTACCCAGAACATGCCAGCCATGCCAATTAAATCCACCGCACCACCTTTATTATTGCCTTGTCTCTCCTAAATTGTGACCGTTTTGTAATTTCCCCTCTGTTGCCACAATCAATCGCACAGCAAATCACATCAGTTTCCTCTACTTTGCTCTATTTGATCAAATAGATTTGGACTTGTATTTTGTTCAAAAGCATTGACTCGTGCATCACGTCTTAGCGGTCAAATCACTTGTTGTCCAGAACACTCGGGAGCTCTGTCATCTTAATGGCTTCTACTTTTGTTTTGTTTAGTGATTTTATTATCCTACGTAAAATCAATTAGATTTAGTCATCTTATTCAGTTAGATTAAGTTTAATCTCAAATAAATCGCTACACCTTTACATGTTAATAACAATGTGATGTTGGTGGTGGTGATGATGGTAATAATAATAATACATTTATTTAATAATAGATTTTAATCTATTGTGAGATAATGAAGATTATTTTTAGGTTATATCTAGCTTAACAACTAATGGCTTTTAATGTTTTTACTATTAGTTTTGCATTTGATTGGATGCTTTGTATGGCGTTTTTGTGGGTCGATTCTTTAGGTATTAGTAGTCGGGCATCAAATAAATTTGGAGTATTATTGCTCGAGATAAGTGATTATTTTTTATTAAGAGATAATCATATTTTTTTGTTATTTGGGGTGTTATCCTTGGATGAATTTTTTTTTTGTTGTGAACATTTGATATAAGATTCTCATAATAAAATAATTATGTACATTATTTTATTACTATACCTCTCTATGCAGATTAAATCATCCAATTATAATATTTTTTTCTTAATTGTTGCTTTTATAGATTACAACTAAATTTCTATCATATTATAAGCATGATTGAATTAGTAAGGATCATAGTGTTTAAACTATTATGTATTGGAAAATTTGTGAATATATGTTTGTGTGCAATGATACATAAGTTGGTGAAACCCTTTTGGGTCAATTGACTTATAGAGTGATTGTTCTATAGAAAATTATCTAATTTCCTTGGATTAGTGTTTATCTTTTTGATTTTAGGGTGTCTGATAAAACTAACTAGATTGTTATAAGCTGAACTAAAATTGAATAATAAATGAGTATTAAGCCATACCCTATTATGACTTGATTGGATTTGAAATGACTATTGTCAATGATTGTATAACTTATTAAAAGGATTGAGCATATTCATATTATCTTGATTACAATTTTGACAGAATATTTTTGCTTGATAGTATTATACATATATATGTATATATATATATATATA